CACTGTATAGTCCTACTTTAAAACTTCCCTTACAGCTGAGTTAATGGCCTTAGAAAACAAGCCAGCCCTACTCTATTTAAATGTAAACCATCCATTGCAAAAAGCTCCCTCATCACACTGAATTGATCCCACAAGTCCAAACAGCCAATGTGTTCATTCTTACATACTAAATTAAGTCTAGCATTTAGCCTTAGTGATCTACTTATAACTTCATCCCCACAGTTAATTCTAGGCAGTAGCCCTAACAAAATTAAGTTATGGCCGTTTTCTTTAAATGTCTTTATCAACCCCCTTATACTTATTAATTATCTCCTCCGACCTACCTTTCCCTACATCATTAGCCCCTATAGCACTACAAAAACTGCATCTCTGCTAGCCCCCCTTTGTTATATCTCTTGCTCTGTCAGTTATATCCTCCACCTGTGCCCCTGGGTAGCATAATCTGATTCTTTTCTCCCTATTTATCCCACAGACTATTCTATCCAGATGTTTCATCAAGGAATCACCTATAACTATAACTTCTTTATCATTCACATCCTTCTCTGACCCTTTTGTTTTCCTTCCCTCCAATAGTTCCCCATCTGCAGAAGCCAAGGGCTGAAATTTGTTGCTCAACAGAATAGGCTCATTATAACTAAATTCACCACTTTTAGCCCTAACAGTACTCTTTCTAACTTCCTTAGTCATTGTTAGCTGATATATCCCTTGCATGTAAAAGCTTAAGCTCCTCCTGAAATCCTGCTGCCATTTCTCACAATCTACACTTCTCTTTATCTATTGCATCTACTTTAATCATGGTTGCCTCTAACTTTTCCTCCAACCTACAAACTCTACATAAAAATTGTACATCTTCATTACTAGCTTCCTTAAAAGTACATTCCAGGCTCAAATTCCCAAATAAAACCCACTCCTTGCACCAATTACACTTAACAAACTGCAAACTTCTACATTAGTCTTAACCATTGTATTTATACTCTTATAACCTGAAAGTGAAAATAATACTCTATACCAAATACCAGTAGCTTATTGTTAACAGTTACAGTTAAGCCTAACGTTTAAGAACCAATTATATAATTTTATCACTACTTTGTCTTTACACTGAAGTAATGAGGTTTATCTTTAATTATATAGAACTTAATTTATTAGAACAATATACATAACATTAATAATAAAACATATTTACTTTAGCCTGATTTATGTTATAACCTAACTATATCTATAAAGTATAAGCTGAATTTAAACTAATGGATCTAAGTTCAAATAAATATGTTAATTCTAGAACACCAAGAAACTAAACTAATTTTTAGATTGTATTTATTTAATAAAACAATTTATTTATCTTGTTTTACAATTTACTAGTGAGTATAAATATACCTAAGCCTAAAGTACCGTTAAACGTACTAAGTCTATTTTGAGTTAAAATGTTATAATAATAATTTACACACCTATACTCCAACTTAAAACTTTTACCATCTTACTTTCATTTACCAATGTTATTATATCTAGTTATTATGGTGTCATTTAACCCAAATTACTACAAATAATAATATTAAATAAGTTTCAGAAATCTATAAGCTTAGCTTTTCAACTGTGCATATTAATTGAAATGTACATTATATTGAAACCATGCTGTTGTAGGATAGCTGGAGTGATTAAAAATAGTAATTATCAGAAACACTAATTTTGATTAGTTGTTTGTTTTTGTGAGTTGTGACACGAATCAGTTAAGCTGAACAAACTTGAATTAACTGAAAATAATGAGAATTTATAATTGCAATATTTCAGTTACTTAGATAGTTGGAATAATATAAAATTGTAATAACTGAAAACACTAATTTCAGTTAGTTGATTATTTTCGTGACACTAATTGATGTAAATGATGCTCATGGGTAATCAGTTACTGTAATTTACGGAATATAAGACGCACCCTTATTTTGAAGACAAGGTTTTGGGGAACAAAAGCTACAGTCGCATT